TTTTTTTGAGCGGTATACACTAAGGTGACTTTATGCTGGTGACTTGTATTTATTATCCTAGTGACTGCGAAGTACATTAGTCTTTCTCTGTTGTCGAACGCAATGTTATGAAGACAAAATTTTCCGACTGTCGAACGTTATAAGCCTTCTTGTCCACCCTGGTTTTGAAGTCGCCAGGCACGATTTCAAAATGTGGGCTGGGCTAACTTCGGATTTCCCAGTTGTTTAATGAATGATGTTTAGGTTTGAAAATTACATACAACGCAATTTTTCTTTTTTTTTGTTAAATCATCCAATCTAATAGTTTTCGATAGTTATTTTTTCATCGCAACGGTGGGGTGGGACCTTAAGGGTGGTCCCGTATTAATTTGGTTAAGTTTCGATCACTGAATCATGAAGAAATTAACGGTAATATTAAATTTTTATATTAGTACTTCAGTAGGTTGTGTTTTTTGCTTCTTTTATACTCGACCCATAAAACTTATTAATTTTTTGTATTTTCAGACATCTTCTTCAACATAACGCTACGTCGCAAAACTCTCTTCTACACCGTTAATCTCATTATACCGTGTGTGGGTATTTCATATCTTTCGGTGCTGGTATTCTATCTGCCCGCCGATTCTGGTGAGAAAATCGCTCTGTGCATCAGCATTCTGCTCTCACAGACTATGTTCTTCCTGCTGATCTCCGAAATTATACCGTCAACATCGCTGGCTCTACCACTACTCGGGAAATATCTACTTTTTACTATGCTGCTAGTGGGGTTGAGCGTTGTCATCACCATCATTATACTCAACATACACTACCGCAAACCGAGCACACACAAAATGGCGCCATGGGTGCGTGCCTTCTTCATCAAGCGCCTGCCGAAGTTGTTGTTGATGCGCGTACCCAAGGATCTGCTGCGCGATTTAGCCGCAAGTAAAATCAACTATGGCACCAAGTTCAGCAAAACCAAGTTCGGCAAGGCGCTCATGGATGAGATGCAAATGAATTCGGGCAGTTCCAGTCCGGACTCGCTGCGCCGCATGCAGGGACGCATGGGCGGATTTGGCGGTGGTGGCTGTAATGGACTGCATGCAACCAGCGCCACAAATCGGTAATTAAATTTTATTGAACTGGAGGGGGAGATAGAGTGGTTGTGAATGTAAATGTGAATGTGGTTGAATGCAGT